AGGCTGCAGCTGCAGTCCAAACAGATCATTTGCCTCACTTTTGCACAGAAACGATAGTCCTGGTCGACAAAATATCTCCAAAATTCATTGACGCTTTCAATTGAATTCTGGCCAGATTATTAATCATTAAAAATTGACAAAAAAAGACAGAAGATTTAGACAAAATATTGTTTTTCTCTTTCTCAACAGTGTCTTGTGCAAAAACGGAGAAAAAAACTAGGCGATAGGCTAGAGTTGAAGTCCAAACAGATCATTTGCCTCACTTTTGCACAGAAACGATAGTCCTGGTCGACAAAATATCTCCAAAATTCAGTGACGCTTTCAATTGAATTCTGGCCAGATTATTAATCATTAAAAATTGACAAAAAAAGACAGAAGATTTAGACAAAATATTGTTTTTCTCTTTCTCAACAGTGTCTTGTGCAAAAACGGAGAAAAAAACTAGGCGATAGGCTAGAGTTGAAGTCCAAACAGATCATTTGCCTCACTTTTGCACAGAAACGATAGTCCTCGGCGACAAAATATCTCCAAAATTCAGTGACGCTTTCAATTGAATTCTGGCCAGATTATTAATCATTAAAAATTGACAAAAAAAGACAGAAGATTTAGACAAAATATTGTTTTACTCTTTCTCAACAGTGTCTTGTGCAAAAACGGAGAAAAACTTGGCGATAGGCTGCAGCTGCAGTCCAAACAGATCATTTGCCTCACTTTTGCACAGAAACGATAGTCCTGGTCGACAAAATATCTCCAAAATTCGGTGACGCATTCAATTGAATTTTGGCCAGATTATTAATCATTAAAAATAGACACAAAAGACAGAAGATTTAGACAAAATATTGTTTTTCTCTTCCTCAACAGTGTCTTGTGCAAAAACGGAGAAAAAAACTAGGCGATAGGCTGCAGTTGCAGTCCAAACAGATCATTTGCCTCACTTTTGCACAGAAACGATAGTCCTGGTCGACAAAATATCTCCAAAATTAGGTGACGCATTCAATTGAATTCTGGCCAGATTATTAATCATTAAAAATACACAAAAAAGACAGAAGATTTAGACAAAATATTGTTTTTCTCTTCCTCAACAGTGTCTTGGGCAAAACCGGAGAAAAACTTGGCGATAGGCTGCAGCTGCAGTCCAAACAGATCATTTGCCTCACTTTTGCACAGAAACGATAGTCCTGGACGACAAAATATCTCCAAAATTTAGTGACGCTTTCAATTGAATTCTGGCCAGATTATTAATCATTAAAAATTGACAAAAAAAGACAGAAGATTTAGACAAAATATTGTTTTTCTCTTTCTCAACAGTGTCTTGTGCAAAAACGGAGAAAAAAACTAGGCGATAGGCTAGAGTTGAAGTCCAAACAGATCATTTGCCTCACTTTTGCACAGAAACGATAGTCCTGGTCGACAAAATATCTCCAAAATTCAGTGACGCTTTCAATTGAATTCTGGCCAGATTATTAATCATTAAAAATTGACAAAAAAAGACAGAAGATTTAGACAAAATATTGTTTTTCTCTTTCTCAACAGTGTCTTGTGCAAAAACGGAGAAAAAAACTAGGCGATAGGCTAGAGTTGAAGTCCAAACAGATCATTTGCCTCACTTTTGCACAGAAACGATAGTCCTCGGCGACAAAATATCTCCAAAATTCAGTGACGCTTTCAATTGAATTCTGGCCAGATTATTAATCATTAAAAATTGACAAAAAAAGACAGAAGATTTAGACAAAATATTGTTTTACTCTTTCTCAACAGTGTCTTGTGCAAAAACGGAGAAAAACTTGGCGATAGGCTGCAGCTGCAGTCCAAACAGATCATTTGCCTCACTTTTGCACAGAAACGATAGTCCTGGTCGACAAAATATCTCCAAAATTCGGTGACGCATTCAATTGAATTTTGGCCAGATTATTAATCATTAAAAATAGACACAAAAGACAGAAGATTTAGACAAAATATTGTTTTTCTCTTCCTCAACAGTGTCTTGTGCAAAAACGGAGAAAAAAACTAGGCGATAGGCTGCAGTTGCAGTCCAAACAGATCATTTGCCTCACTTTTGCACAGAAACGATAGTCCTGGTCGACAAAATATCTCCAAAATTAGGTGACGCATTCAATTGAATTCTGGCCAGATTATTAATCATTAAAAATAGACAAAAAAGACAGAAGATTTAGACAAAATATTGTTTTTCTCTTCCTCAACAGTGTCTTGGGCAAAACCGGAGAAAAACTTGGCGATAGGCTGCAGCTGCAGTCCAAACAGATCATTTGCCTCACTTTTGCACAGAAACGATAGTCCTGGACGACAAAATATCTCCAAAATTTAGTGACGCTTTCAATTGAATTCTGGCCAGATTATTAATCATTAAACATTGACAAAAAAAGACAGAAGATTTAGACAAAATATTGTTTTTCTCTTTCTCAACAGTGTCTTGTGCAAAAACGGAGAAAAAAACTAGGCGATAGGCTAGAGTTGAAGTCCAAACAGATCATTTGCCTCACTTTTGCACAGAAACGATAGTCCTCGTCGACAAAATATCTCCAAAATTCAGTGACGCTTTCAATTGAATTCTGGCCAGATTATTAATCATTAAAAATTGACAAAAAAAGACAGAAGATTTAGACAAAATATTGTTTTTCTCTTTCTCAACAGTGTCTTGTGCAAAAACGGAGAAAAAAACTAGGCGATAGGCTGCAGTTGAAGTCCAAACAGATCATTTGCCTCACTTTTGCACAGAAACGATAGTCCTCGGCGACAAAATATCTCCAAAATTCAGTGACGCTTTCAATTGAATTCTGGCCAGATTATTAATCATTAAAAATTGACAAAAAAAGACAGAAGATTTAGACAAAATATTGTTTTACTCTTTCTCAACAGTGTCTTGTGCAAAAACGGAGAAAAACTTGGCGATAGGCTGCAGCTGCAGTCCAAACAGATCATTTGCCTCACTTTTGCACAGAAACGATAGTCCTGGTCGACAAAATATCTCCAAAATTCGGTGACGCATTCAATTGAATTTTGGCCAGATTATTAATCATTAAAAATAGACACAAAAGACAGAAGATTTAGACAAAATATTGTTTTTCTCTTCCTCAACAGTGTCTTGTGCAAAAACGGAGAAAAAAACTAGGCGATAGGCTGCAGTTGAAGTCCAAACAGATCATTTGCCTCACTTTTGCACAGAAACGATAGTCCTGGACGACAAAATATCTCCAAAATTCGGTGACGCATTAAATTGAATTTTGGCCAGATTATTAATCATTAAAAATAGACACAAAAGACAGAAAATTTAGACAAAATATCGTTTTTTTTCTTCCTCTACAGTGTCTTGTGCAAAACTGGAGAAAAAACTAGGCGATAGGCTGCAGTTGCAGTCCAAACAGATCATTTGCCTCACTTTTGCACAGAAACGATAGTCCTGGTCGACAAAATATCTCCAAAATTAGGTGACGCATTCAATTGAATTCTGGCCAGATTATTAATCATTAAAAATAGACAAAAAAGACAGAAGATTTAGACAAAATATTGTTTTTCTCTTCCTCAACAGTGTCTTGGGCAAAACCGGAGAAAAACTTGGCGATAGGCTGCAGCTGCAGTCCAAACAGATCATTTGCCTCACTTTTGCACAGAAACGATAGTCCTGGACGACAAAATATCTCCAAAATTCATTGACGCTTTCAATTGAATTCTGGCCAGATTATTAATCATTAAAAATTGACAAAAAAAGACAGAAGATTTAGACAAAATATTGTTTTTCTCTTTCTCAACAGTGTCTTGTTCAAAAACGGAGAAAAAAACTAGGCGATAGGCTAGAGTTGAAGTCCAAACAGATCATTTGCCTCACTTTTGCACAGAAACGATAGTCCTGGTCGACAAAATATCTCCAAAATTCAGTGACGCTTTCAATTGAATTCTGGCCAGATTATTAATCATTAAAAATTGACAAAAAAAGACAGAAGATTTAGACAAAATATTGTTTTTCTCTTTCTCAACAGTGTCTTGTGCAAAAACGGAGAAAAAAACTAGGCGATAGGCTAGAGTTGAAGTCCAAACAGATCATTTGCCTCACTTTTGCACAGAAACGATAGTCCTGGACGACAATATCTCCAAAAGTCAGTGACGCATTCAATTGAATTCTGGCCAGAATATTAATCATTAAAAATAGACAAAAAAGACAGAAGATTTAGACAAAATATTGTTTTTTTCTTCCTCAACAGTGTCTTGGGCAAAACCGGAGAAAAAAAAATAGGCGATAGGCTGCAGTTGAAGTCCAAACAGATCATTTGCCTCACTTTTGAACAGAAACGATAGTCCTGGACGTTAAAATATCTCCAAAAGTCAGTGACGCATTAAATTGAATTCTGGCCAGATTATTTATCATTAAAACTAGACAAAAAAGACAGAACATTTGGACAAAATATTGTTTTTCTCTCCCTCAACAGTGTCTTGTGCAAAACCGGAGAAAAACTTGGCGATAGGCTGCAGCTGCAGTCCAAACAGATCATTTGCCTCACTTTTGCACAGAAACGATAGTCTTGCTTGACAAAATATCTCCAAAATTCATTGACGCATTTAATTGAATTCTGGCCAGATTATTAATCACGAAAAATAGACAAAAAGACAGAAGACTTAGACGAAATATTGTTTTTTTCTTCCTCAACAGTGTCTTGTGCAAAACCGGAGAAAAATTGGGGGATAGGCTGCAGTTGCAGTCCAAACAGATCATTTGCCTCACTTTTGCACAGAAACGATAGTCCTGCTCGACAAAATATCTCCAAAATTCAGTGACGCATTAAATTGAATTCTGGCCAGATAATTAATCATTAAAAATAGACAAAAAGACAGAAGATTTAGACAAAATATTGTTTTTTTTCTCTTCCTCAACAAGTCAACAGTGTCTAGTGCAAACTCCCCGCTCCGATCGATCCGGCGGTCCCTCACTAGTTTATCTTTGAACTTTGGTAACTGACAGTGGAGACTCGAATCCAGACTACAACAACTTCAAGTACAGTACACACACACAAATTCTATGAAAAGTGCATGCAGTTTTACTGCACTTGAATTTACTGTCATGAATGTGTGTAAACATGGAGTAGCGGTTGCATCTGATTTGATTTGGTGTTTCAAAAACACGCAAAAATGACGTATGTCAAGCAAGCGATCGGCAAATCTGGCGTGCTGGGCATCTGGAATCGAAGTTCCCTGAGAGAGAGTGCACTAAAGAGCCTTGTAACGCAACGAGTGAAGCTGCAATCACGGCAATGGAGGCGGACAATTTCGGCCCATCATCGGTACCTGTCGACGTCCAGCAGGTACGTACATACATCACGCGCATGTTCATGTACAATGTATGTAAACACTGTAGTTAATAACAGGTGTGCCATGGTGAACAGTACATGGACTTGGACTCTTCTTATCGCCTTTTTAACATTGGTATATCTGGCGATCATTTCTTTGTGTAGTGGCAACGCAACTCGCAAGGCAAAAATATTGCCAACACCGTTAGTACGCACATACACAGCTCCATGGTGGAACGGTCATTGTGGCTCACATAGGACACCTTCCTCCATGCATAGGAGGAACATTCAATGAAGATACTACTGAACCAAAAAAAGGAAACCGTCAATTCTGAGCACAAAATGGGTTTTACACTTTGATCGATATCAACATTGACCATATTGACCTTAAAAGTGAGTCTCATCATGGTCTCATCCTCGTACTGATTTCCATTATTACTAGGCTTTCCAATACCTTCCATTCCAGTTATATACATGTACACGTACAACAATCTGCTTCTCTTATCGATACTATAATGTTCTTGATGAACTTGTTTATGCAGGAATATTGCTTGATGACATAATAAATATTTGTTTAAGAAGTTAATTAATAGTTATCGTGTGAATAGTGAAACCAAAATAAGGACTTCCTTTAAAATTTGATGGAAAGAAAAGTTTAGTGAGCTGGTCCCAACAATCTCTTTTTGGTCTGCAATATTTTTTCAAATTCATTGTCTTTTGGTGTTTTTCAGCTCTGTTCTCTCCAAGCAAGAGTTGAGCTACTGTCACAACCCAGGTGCCACCCCACTGATTGGTAAGACCATAGGACAGATCATGGATGAAACTACCGAGAAGTTCCCCGACAGAGACGCACATGTCTTCCTCAGAGATGGAATACGGAGGACTTTTGAAGAATTGAGAGAGGAGGTATACATCGTAATTGTAGAGTTTGCCAGGGAGAGTTCTTTTCCCAGAGCATTGTGGGAGATGGTCGACAAATTCGCAGTGCGGGCTATTTAAAATTGTTAGTTTGTCCGGTCAGTAGTTTCCTAAAGCATATGATTCGAGTATATGTTTGCCCTTTTCTTTTCTTTTTATCAGTATGGTGTTTTTTGTAAGGTGGCAGAACGCTACGTTCCCCAATCCTTAACAAATTAGCTCAAGTTGTCTACTGATACTCGTTCAAATGGGCCGTGTTTTGTCGACAGTAATCTTGAAAAATGGACTCTCCGTGGCGAACTCTTAGTGGCGCACTGCATTGTGAAACGCCTGAATTAAATAAAATTCTTGTGTGCTGTTTTTTTGGACCAGTTTTTCTGGGCTTGCCTAGTTATGTTTTTGTTTAAATTTCTTCTCCCCCCCCCAAGACTGACAGGGTATCAACTGGCCTCCTAGCCCTGGGCATCAAGAGGGGTGACCGAGTGGGTATGTGGGGGCCTTCTACCTTAGAATGGGTGCTGACACAGTTTGCTACATCGCGTATCGGTGCCATCATGGTCAACATCAACCCAGTCTACAGAGTTCCTGAACTGGAGTACGCTCTGAGAATGGTAAAGTATTCTGGAATAATTGTCTTAATAAAGGGAAGCTACAACATTTGCAAACATCAAAAAACGAAATCAGTGGCCACATTATCACGAAATATCTTACTGGATTGTTAGGGAATGACAGTCTAATTAAAGCATCCTGTAAAATCGTGGCTGCTGGTGTGCTGACATTTTCAAGAAAAATTGTATTTTTCCAACGCTGGTCGGCCGACCATGACAGCGTTGGAGAAAACTTTTTTTTTTCTCTCCAAAAAGTGTTCCTAATTTTTCAAATTTAGTTATTCCGCATTTTGTTTGCAATTGATTACACACCTGTGAAGGAGTACAATCCTTCTAGACTGATTCTCTGACCTTGCAATTCCCCAAAGTCTATGAATTGCTCTGTTTAATCTTGAGTGTGGTTTGGGAACCAGACCACAAAAACATCCAGCATCTACAAACCAAAAACGTGAAACAAGTCAGTTTAACATTATTTGCTATGAACATACTCATCCTCCGAATCCAGTTATTTCTGAAAATTGCAATAAAAGCAAATGATGTACATTCCCTTTAAAACATCTTTGTTATTCATTATTTTTGATCTTTCTCCAATTTTTTTCAACATTGTCTGTGGCAATCAACAGTCTATTGTGAGTGTTTCAGTATATTTTACATATTCTGATCAAGTTACTTACATTAGCTGCAGACTTGTTATACTTTTCGTGTGGCTTTGTTTACCTTTTTGTTCAGTTTTATTTCCTTTATCTTTTCTTTTGTTTCTTGTTGCTGTTACTTTTAAGTTCAGTGTTATTTATTACTTTTATTTCTCTTTTCTTCTTTTCGTGTGGCTTTGTTTACCTTTTTGTTCAGTTTTATTTCCTTTATCTTTTCTTTTGTTTCTTGTTGCTGTTACTTTTAAGTTCAGTGTTATTTATTACTTTTATTTCTCTTTTCTTAGTCTGAATGCAAAGCCATTGTCTGTGCCCGGACGTTTCGTACGTTAGACTACTATACGATGCTCGGAGAAATCTGTCCCGAGCTTGATACTGGCAAACCAGGACAACTCGATTGTGCTAAGTTAGTTACAAACTCTCGTCAGAATTTTAAATCATTCATGGACATTTCTCCTCTGATTTCACAGAAAACTCATATTGTTAGCATGCCAGACATGTTCAATCATTTCATTAGGCCAAAAAAAAAAGTCTCCGGTTTCTGGTATGCGCGCGCGTCGCCGTAGCCATGCGCGTCAGCAAAATGAAAAAGTTTTTTTTTCAATAAAAGATGATGTCTCAAAACCGCCAAACTCACTGGTTTGACTGGAATCCTGCTGCTGCACAATTTTAACGTGTTTTTAGATGGGGTTATGATCGAGAATAAGCTTTATGTGGCCTCTCTGGACTCCCATATATTTGCACTAAGTTTAGTCGGGCACCATTTGCAGTCATCAGTCAACATTTGAAGCAAAAAAAGTCAGGTAAAAAAAAAAAAAAAGCCGCGTCGCCGCACCACTTTTTGGACAAGCTCCATACCAGAAACCAGAGACTTTTTTTTTTTGGCCTTAGGGCAAATCATCACGTTATGTATTACAACACCAGAAATCACTAACATAAACAGAAGCCAACACTAATGATTTTCCGCACATTTACAAAGCTGCTTAGCATTTGACGAGAAGTCGTGCTAACATTTAGCAGGACAGTTTTGCCTGTCCTTAACATTATTCATCGCGTAAAGTAAGCTTTAAGTGCTTAATTTCTTTCCATTTGTACATCATTATTTTACACTTAACTTTTTTTGTGAAATTGGTGTTGTCTTTTTGGCGATCGTGTATCTACGGGCCCGGTTCCCTATAGGAAACAAAATCAACTTTTAAAATTATTTAACCTACCAAACTAGTTGACGACGTTAAGAACAAATAGGTGTGTCGTAGATGAAGAGCAGGGTTTTGAATTTTTAAGGGAAATTTTTATTCATTCATTCATTTTTTTCAAATTTGGGGGTAAAATGACGATGGCAACGACAAAATGCAACACGAAAATAAAAATGGGGATCACCCCACGATCATGACGATGTAACGTGAATGCGCAAGGTGCACTGAGTCGCATGGTACCAACCCTAAACTGCGTAGGAAAATCATAATTTCTACCCCAAGAAACTGTTCAAAATTACAAAAAAAAGTGTTATTGGAATCAAGAGAAGTCTGCTTTAGGTTGAAAAGGTCATTTTTGAGTATAGACCATTATCATGTTGCGGCCATTGTGTTTTTTCCCCATTCAAATCAACATAACCAAAGCGAGGAAAGAAAAATAGTCTGGTTCCTTTTTGCACGAAGAACATTATCATTCAGTGCTGTTATTGGGTACAGGGAACAATGCTGAAATGGTGGCAGCATGGTAAATGTCTAAAACACCCTTGACTCTAATTTGATCGAAACTAAACAGGGGGACCTATACTACACGATCGCAGTCTTTTCTGTTCTTGGTCTAGCTGTTTTTGTAAAGGAGTAGTTGGTTATAGTTTGCTGAAAATGATGTGTTTTACAATACTCTTTTCAATTTACTGACAACAATACTAACTAATGACTCCCATGCAGGCTTCCTGATCTACAGACTGTAATCTTCAGGGGTGAGGATAATTTGCCTGGGACGTTCAACTTTCCTGACCTCCTCAAGATGGGTGGCAGCACTGAAGAGACACTGAGAGATGAATATGAGAACAGGATTCACTTTGATGAGCCCATCAATATTCAGTTCACCTCGGTGAGTTACCTGAGACAGTTTACCCATTCCTATTGGTCGACAGCCCATCACGTGGGTGGTTGTAAACGGATGATAAAACGCCGGCTGGCTGTTGTTGTGTCAAATGAAATTTGGACCCCCATGAAATCTGGTCCCTTTACCCTTTTATTGGTTGAACATTCACAATATTCACTTGGGCATGTGCAATACTGCCAATGAGTCCATACTAATTCAAAGAGTCCTAAATTCACACTATACTTATATAAAGTGTATAACTAGGGAAAACTTGCATGGCCTATATAGTTATCACTTTGCCACTAACTGGTTTGATGTAAAGATGGGGGGGCCTAAAAATGTCATCTGTGCTGAAAGGTAGAGAGGTTTTTTTCACCGGACACCCGACTGGACACCATCTTCCCATGGGGGCACTGTTCAGGAAGCTATATCATGGTTAATGTTAAACAATAACTACCGCTATTCGCTTTCCACAGTCCTTCAAATAAACAGCCTCACGAAAAGAAAGGGTTTAGGTAGAAAAATGGATTTTATGATCTTTCAGCTAATCATGGTAACTCACACGACTGTGCTTTTGTCTGGATGCCAAATTTCCAGTTACAAGGCAATTGGGGCCGCAAACTTTTTATAGGGGGGCATCTCCCCCCCCCCCCAGCTCGTCGCTGCCCAGCTGTGTTTGAAATAAGAATGAATTGACAAATACAAAATTAATGAAATAATAATTATTATTTCCCGATTTCAGGGTACCACCGGATTCCCGAAGGGTGTCACTTTAACGCATCACAACATCGTCAACAATGCATTTAACATTGGACATACGGTTGGCTACCATGAAAAGGTATTACAATGTCATCTTTGAGGGAAAAAAATTAAACAAACGAACAACAAAATATATTTGTGCAATTTCTGCTCCAGCATAAACTACTTTAAGGTTTCTTCTTTAAATTTTGTTTTATACAAATTGTCTAAATTTTATGCCGTGAAATGAACAATTACTCATTGCGAAATATTTTTGACAACTCGAGCATGAAAGTTTGTTTACGAGCTCTGTAACTCAAGTACCAAAAAAAGATATCTTTCATTTACTTGATTTTTGACATTTGTGAGAAAAAAAGACTTGTACATTTCTTTGATTTGAAATAGGCTACCATTTTAAATTTGCAGTCCGAAATATCAAAACTTATGTGAATTAGTTTGTAATGTTGTTTCAATGGTTCCTTCGTTTTACTGTGTAAATGTTGAAATGTTGGTTTCTGATTTGACACAGCACCACCGCATTTGTGTTTCTGTGCCTTTGTACCACTGTTTTGGCATGGTGGGTGCATCGTTGTGCGGGATGGTGCATGGTGCGACCTGCGTCTTCCCTTCCCCTGGGTTTGAGGCTGGGGCAGCCCTGGAGGCAGTTGCTACAGAGAGGTACGTAGTTCTCAAGACAGAAAACATTTCACGAGTCATCACAAGTCATCACAAGATGAATAAAGCATTGGCTTAACCAAGGGGTGGGGGCCATGGCTCCCCCTGCTGTAAAAACAACTATGTAATACAACAAAATTCAAAAAAAAATTTACCAAAACCCGACACTAATTACGAGTACGAACTATGATTATGTTTATTTGGTAGTCTGAAATTCAATGTTGTTTATCCTGCTTCTTCTACAGGTGTACATCTCTCTACGGCACGCCGACCATGTTCATTGACTATCTCCATCACCCAAGGCTATCCGAGTTGGACGTCTCGAGTCTCTCCACGGGCATCATGGGTGGTTCACCCTGTCCCATTGAAACAATGAAACAGTGCATGACACGCCTCAACATGGAGGATGTTTCTGTGAGTTTGTGATTAGTTCACAGTGGGCCCAATTTCGTTAAGCTGCTAAGGGCAATTTCGGGCGCGAACTATAGTTAACCATAGTTCGACTGACTTCACTCAAATGAAGGATGGTTGGACAACTCTAGTTGACTTGGAACCGGAACATGGGCCACAGTTGCATCGCTGCATGGGTACAAATACAGGTATCACAAGTCCTAAGTTCCCCCCAACATTATTCTTAATTAATGAAATAGAAATGCACGATTTCAACAATATCCCAAATGCAAATGACAGAGGACACTCTTCTGTCCATCTTGTGAGAAAATGATAGAAATCCAATCACGCATACCAACACGAAGCTCATTAGAATGAAAAAAGTGCCAATAAAAAAAGTTGCAGTAAATAGCATTGCTCCAATGTACTGGTTTGAGTGATCCTGCAAGGCAGGGTAGACTCTCATTAATTAATAACTTTACCTTACAAAAGTTTCCTTGTTTAAAAGGATGTTTAACTAAAACAAGACGCAATCTTGGTAATCTAACAGATAATTGCAAACCTTTTAATGCGAAGATGACAAAGAAAATGCTGTGTAATCCTATTACTTTTAGATTAGATACAAAAGGGATTAACATTCTACCTTTTAAAGCATGATCAAACCAGTACACTGGAGCAATGCTATTTACTGCAACTTTTTTTATTGGCACTTTTTTCATTCAAATGAGCTTCGTGTTGGTATGCGTGATTGGATTTCTATCATTTTCTCACAAGATGGGCAGAAGAGTGTCCTCTGTCACTTGCATTTGGGATATTGTTGAAATCGTGCATTTCTATTTCATTAATTAAGAATAATGTTGGGGGGAACTTGGGACTTGTGATACCTGTATAGGCCAAGTTCGCGTCAGAACTATTATTAACCATAGTTTGACTAAGTTTAGCCCGAACTCTGTCTAGTCGATGATGGTTGGACGCAGTGGCGTAAATCCCTGGGGGAATGGGGGTGTAAATCTCCCCCACACTTTCTGACCAGGGGGATGGGCTATTGAATCATCCCCCCCACCCCCTCCACACTGTATTGTGATGAGAAAACAAAATGTGGATTTTGAGGTATGATTTCGAACTTGACCATAGCAGCTCGCTTAAAGGGCAACAGGGAGCCAGCTAGGACTTTTGATGTCAAAAATTGTACTAGTCTACTAACGGTCCTCACCTGAACTTGCTCTAAGCAGAAAATACTACTTCGCAAGATTATATAATTCCTTTTACCCTTTCAAGGGTAAAATGTCTTATACTCAGCGAACGCTTTTACATGGCCTCCGTGCGTGCTGTATATATAAATTATCGATCTTACGCACAGCCTGTGATCCACAAACGAGCATATCTCGGTCACCGAACTTTTTGCCTTTCTTGTGTGGCGCGCTTACCGCTTAGCTTATCACAGGTTCGGACGGGTCGTCGCCTAATAAGGGATAATTATGCAAAGGGCTAACGATTTTCTGGGGTGTGCTCGGGACGGTGGGCGCTCGGCGGGCTGTAATCATACGGCAAAGCGTGTACAGAGAAAAATTCTGTTTTTTCAATTTGAGTCCGAGCATAAGGGGGATATATCTTTTTAGACTCGGTCACAAGCAATATACATATCAAACAGTTTTATAGAGTATTTCAGAGCTTGCCCTCTTCCTGAAATTGGCCCATATGCTTTGCCAGTGTTCATCAGTGAAGAAAAGCAAGAAGATGTAACCAGAAAGTGTTCGGAATTTGCGAGCACAACAAAGTCATGTTCTTACTTGAATTCTTGGGTTACAGATTATCTATGGACTAACTGAAACGTCGGCTGTTATCACACAAACCCTCCGAGATGATCCCATTGAGGAGAGAGTCTCCACTGTTGGGAAAGCGGCACCCCACACCGAAGTAAGTGTGACATTAAAAACTAGACTTATGTTTGTGGACAAACACAGGGCTGTTTCAGCAACTTGTTTGTTGACATGTGACATGTAGAGTTTGGAGTATAAGTTCCGGAAGGAAGGGTCACGTGATTTTGAACGTGTTATCAAAAAAGAAGACCCTGGATTATTCTATCAATTGCCGCAAAAGTCATGTTCAGGTCTCTCACGGTTGATTTTTTATTGGTTTTAAAATATTGAATCTATTAATCTTAAACGTGACCATGATGGCATCACTTCATTTTTCATCTACAACTCATCCCGGTGTAGATGCTTACCAACTTTGAAGCCGATCAGACCTGTAGTTCTGGAGATATACGCCTTCAAAATATGGACCATTAGGGGCCACGCCACGTTAAGGGGACAACAAAAAAATGCTTACATTTGGAATACTCATTTTTGTGAACAGTTGAAGATAATCGATCCTCAAACTGGAGAGATCGTGCCGCGCAACATGTCTGGTGAGCTGTGTAGCCGAGGATATGCTACTATGATTGGCTACTGGAATAACCAAGTGAAGACCGATGAAGCTATTGATAAGGCTAGATGGTTCCATACAGGGTGAGTGTTAGTCTTAGGCCCAAAAAAATAATAGTTCTGCTTCCGGTTTCCCTACCAACCCTATTCTGACAGCCCCTACCCTAGTTTTTGCCGGGGGGGGGGGGGGGGGGGGGGAGGGGAAATGAGGAAAAACACCCAAAACTATCAATTACTACCTTTTACCCTTTGACTACTCGCTGATGCCTCCATATGATGTTACACACACACACAAAAGTTGCCCCCCCCCCCCAAAAAAAATCCCTACTTATACCTACCCTCATTTCAAATGTCATGTAATCGGAAGCAGAAGTATTTTTCTTTTGGCCTTACATGTCTTTTATCTGTACAAAGCAGTTCAGATACCAAATAGTTGTACACTAACGGAGCCCACAAGAAATGGCGGAAAATGCACGATGGTTACTCTGATCTGTAGCTTGCACAATGCTTCAGCCATAACTGGGGGCCTCCGTGAGATTCTGTGCACAGAGATTCTATCTTGAAAACTAAAAACTATGTCTTCGTAAAATGAAATTGCGGTAAAGTTATATAGTAAAAATATGTGTTTTTTCCCGGACTCGGGCCGAGTCCTCAAGATATTCGAGTCCTCAATGTTCAAGTCCAAGTCCGAGTCCCCACTATCCGAGTCCGAGTCCGAGTGCTTGAAAATCGGGACTTGAGTCCTCCAGCACTGTATCTCACACAGGTGCTGTTCAACACCCGCGGCCAAATCCATCCCTTTGTGAAATCGCTGCACGTGTTATATTCAGACAATTATTATTCACCAGTGTTGCTCTTTGTTTTTATGATTTCAACTGCAGAGATATCGCGGTGATGAATGAGGAGGGCTACGTGTCTATTGTAGGACGCAATAAAGACATGATCATCAGAGGCGGGGAGAACATCTATCCTGCAGAGATCGAGAACTTCCTGTACAAACATCCCAAGATCAACGGTGTCCAGGTGTCGTGGAGTTGTCTTCATTTAGACTTAAGAACTGTTTAGGAAATATCAGTGGCGTTCTTTTATAAATCAAAGATGAAATGTGGTTCCTTATTTTAGAAAGAAATCCTAAAGTGTGTGAGATTGTAAGATTAGTAGTCTTTGCATAATACAGGGTGAGTTAAAATAAAATGAAAGCCAAATGACAGGACCAATTTTTGAATGAAGTTTTGCCTGTAGCACTTTCAAAATCTAGGATATGTAAGCCCAATCAATGAGCTTCCTTTTAGTACAAGAATCATGCAAATCACTCATGTACTTTTCACATGCATCCCTATGAGAATTGTTTTCGTTTTGCTGAAAGAACACTTACATGTTTTGTGATCCGTGGACATAATTTTTAAACGGTGTTTGTGTTCAAAAGTACATGAGTTATTTAAATGATTGTTGTACTAAATATAAGCTTAATGTTTTGGGGTAGTCACAAAGAAAGGCCTGTATCCTTTTCATGCATGGCTGAATATCGGTAAAACTTGTACTGACTGTGGTCAATACCCAGACCAAACGTTGGCTGTAGAAAAAACACTGGTAACTTTTCTTGTGTTTGTGGGAGAAAAAAACTTATCCAGATGGATATTTTTTTGACACACCTTGTATTATTTATATTTCTTTCTTAAGGTGATTGGTGTTCCAGATGAGCGTCTGGGTGAGATAGTGTGCGCCTGGGTCAAACTTAAGGAGGGACAAACGGCAACGGAAGACGACATCAGGGACTTCTGTAAAAGAGAGGTGAGTGTTCGGATACCTCTGTTATTTGTGTAGAGTTGTGAAATTCATAAATCGGTCCTTTCTTATATAGGGTGAGTCAAAAAATGAAACCCAAATTGCAGGACCAATTTTTGAATGAAGTTTTGCAGGGTTCGACCTTAACTTTTTTTCCACTAGCCAGCTGGGCTACTGAAACAGACTCCCGCGGGCATTTTCACAAGACCACATATTTATTTCTTTTATAGAGTGTCTCATAAACAACAATGTACATACATGTAAATGTACCCTAGCTGAGGTAATCTTGTCAGTGTTTTTAATTAAACAGATCTAATAATTAAACCCTAAAAAGTTATTATAATTATGACACAAATTGATACGGGTTTGCTTTCTGAATTTAATACTTTATTTCTTCCTGTCCTTTCATCTTTGCCGTAGCCCAATAATTTTTGACTCGCCAGCCGGGCTACTTAAGGAATAGCCTGACGCTGTTTGACTAGCATTTGCCAGCTAGCGGGCTACCGCTAAAGTCGAATCCTGAGTTTTGCCAGTAGCACTTTCAAATCTAGGATATGAAAGCCTTATCAATGAGCTTTCTTTTAGTACAAGAATCATTCTTGTACTAAAAGAAAGCTTGTGAATAGGGCTTTCCTATTCTAGATTTTGAAATTGCTACATGCAGAAATTTACTAAAACAATGGTCCCGACATTTGGGTTTCGGTTTTTTTTACTCACCCTGTATATCAGACTCTTCAAAAGTAAACTAAAGTTGAACTCAAAATAATGTTAGGGAAAAGCTAACTCAATAGTGAAGTCACTTCCAGGATAAATTTCTCAAAGTTAATAAAAAATTACAATGAGAGAATAAATGAACTTGCGTTTGTCATTAAAACAAGTTACACCAGCTTTAATTTGTTGTGGTCTCTGAAATAAAAAAGTTTCTAAACTAATTGCAACATACCTGTTTTTGTCCTTTTTCTTGCAGATGGCTCACTTCAAGATCCCGAAGATCGTTCACTTTGTGTCGGAGTTCCCGCTGACCGTAACAGGCAAAGTGCAGAAGTTCAAAATGCTAGAAGAAATGGTTAGAATTATGGGCATCAAGTAGTATGTAATCCTGGGCACAAAGCCTTTTGACCTTTACTAATACTGGAAGTCTAATGAGAATTGAATGTAACTTAAAAACAATTTGCTACAATCAAACTAATGTGATGCGATCAAGCTAAATGAGTCGTTTGTCAGGTATTTTTAATTGGAGATTCAGACCGAAATAAAATCACTTCATCACATCTCTTTATGACATCTCTTGGTGTTCCGACTTCCATAATTTTTGAACTAAAGATGGTACCCGCATGCACATTTTCACAGCAGTAATGCTGAGATTGTGCTCTTTTCAAATCTGTAAAAAAAAAAAAAAAAAATTGACCAGGGTCGACAAACGACTCATGTAGCTTGATTGCATCACAAATTATGGAAAGTTTAGTGAGGATGATAAAATCGAGTGCCAAACACAAGAGATGGCATGATGCAGCAGAGTTGTAACAAGTCACTGCAATTGTGTGACTCGAGTTGAGTCGAGTCATTTTAAGGACATGACTCAAGTTAATTTGAGTCAAGTCAAAGTGTGTAGTCAAGTCGATTCAAGTCAAATTTATGCTTGAATCAATTCGAGTTGCTGATATTTGAACACCATCAAATAAACAACAGAATTGAAGAAGGAACACAAGGCACCAGTTTGTAATGAATATCCAAAGACTTAAAATATGCTGCATGGTACCCAATAGACAGCTTCTGCTGGACGTTTCTACCAAAGATCTATGCGTAGCACTTAACAAGAAGTGAAACTTTGGTTTCATCTCTTGTTTGGCTTCAGGTCCGGAATACTTTTTGCGCTGACAACGTCAAAACCAAATTGCATCATACGATCTGTTTCTGATTAAATAAAAATATATCTAATTATTTTTGAGAGCATGCTTAAGAAATTGCCCGAAACCGATGATGAAACCAAGAATTGGAAAATGCGTTTAAAGTCTTGTTCTGTGAATAGTATTCGTACACTTTATTATAAACCCACAAGGTGGGAGTCCGTGAAACGGCATGAATTTGTGCGCAAAAAGACCGGCCACAACTTGGCGGTAACACAAAGTGTGCGAACATTAATGACTTTGTACCGTAAGTAACTGCAGATATATTTTCGCACCGTGTTATTAGCCTTTGACTCGCTCGAGTCGAGTCGAGTCTGCTGATGGGGGACTCCAGTAGAGCTGAGTCATTTGCTCACATTGACTTGAGTCGAGTCAGTTACCCATTGGGACTCGAGTCGAGTCGAGTCCCCAAAAATTGTGAATGGAGTCGGACTGGAGTCCAGTCATTGACTCGAGTCATTACAATTCCAAATGCAGGTCTTCCTGAAACTTGTCATAGACAAGGATCTCGTACAGAAGGTGTGTATACTGAGATGTAACGTCATGATGACGTCACGGTCATCATGTGTTACATCACGTCAAAGCAACTATAGGTCTGATGTGGTTGTATTAATTTGGTAGGTACCGAGTCCGGGATGTGTTATATATGAAAATTGACTTGACCACAATATTGTACTATCAATTAATTTAAAGACAATCACAAACATTTTGGACCCGTTTTACGGTTGTTGAGTGAAAAAATAAATAATGCATTTTGAGAAGAAAAAACTGTAATTTCTGAATGAGATTTTTGTGTTCATTTTAGAAATTGAATAGTTCCCTTATGAAAATTATGAAAATGAAATCAGAAATTGTATTCGTAACAATTACAACAAACAGAAATAACGGCGCTGCTGTTGAAACCCCTTAGCCGGAGTCAAGTTATCGTCCGGAAACCATTTACCTTTAACTCACCACTGTGACCTTGACCTTGGACCTTTTGACCCCCAAACCAATCCTCACTTGCTTGCACCCAAGGGCAACCCCCTTCTGAAGTTACAAACCAAAATTACATTTCAGACTCACGTTTTTATCATCCGGAAACCATTTACCTTTAACTCACCACTGTGACCTTGACCTTCGACCTTTTGACCACAAAACCAATCCCAACTTGCTTGTACCCAAGGGCAACCCCCTTCTGAAGTTAAAACTCAAATCACATTTCTAACTCAAGCTATCATCCAGAAACAATTTACCTTTAACTCACCACAGTGACCTTGACCTTGGACCTTTTGACCCCCAAACCAATCCTCACGTGCTTGTACCCAAGGGCAACCCCCTTCTGAAGATAAAAACCCAAATCACAATTCTTACTCAAGTTATCATCCGGAAACCATTTACCTTTAACTCACCACAGTGACCTTGACCTTAGACCTTTTGACCCCCAAACCAATCCTCACTTGCTTGTACCCAAGGGCAACCCCCTTCTGAACTGAAGTTACAATCCCAAACAACATTTCTAACTCCAGTTATCATCCGGAAAATGAGATGCTGGGACAGATGCCCGCCCTGACAATACCCTCCAGCATCTCGGCTGAGGGATAAAAAGCCTAAATTTGAAGGGGAAATGTCAAGGTTATAATCAAAACGATAGAGTATGTTACTTCAGTGTAAAAAGTACAATACAAACTATTTTAACGATGTTCAATGAAACAAAGCTCACTGTACTTGTCCGAAAATAACTTGAGAATTATCCGTTGAATTATATTGAGATTTTGTCAGTTGTTTGGTAGTATAACTTTGAAAGCCTATAAATTTTAACCAAAACAATCGTCTATTTAGCGGGAAAAGCTACAGCCTGAATGGAATCACATTCGCTCACAGTCTGGACTCTAGAAATAAAATTGAATTTTGACGCTTCCTTGGTCGTAAAATCTTTAAAAGGCCTCTGAAATTTCATTATGAATTGTCCAACAATACAGTCAATATAACCAAAACAATGTGTTCAACGTGTTCAACGCGAAAAGTACAAACAAAATGAAATCGACCAATAATGCAACAAAAACAACACACCTTTCCAGATGATTACTCAGGAAAATATCTATTGTATTTAGTTGATATTTCTATTGATTGGTCGTAGAATTTCAAAAGGAATTGTGGCAGTCAATTTAATGTCAATGATTAAACCTGTTCAAAGTATATATCTGTTCGTGTAAAAAATGCCTATTTTATAATCGGAGCTGCTGCAAATTTGTTAACTTTGCATTACAGTTGCAATGTTCAAAAGAGCCATGCACACCTCCTTGATTCGTAAAATGTAGATTTTTAAAACTGTTGCAAACATTGAAGCCTACATCAAAAATCTAAATTCCTGAAAAACAAAAAAAACCAAAACAAATATTTCACCGGCACCAGACTATCATGTGACCTCTAACATCCTTGACTAGAGAGGGCCATAAGCTATACAAAATCACTGAAGCATGAAAACCTACTCCGACAGCCACCCATATGGTCAATTGAGGAAGGCCCTTCAACCAGGTTACATCAAGACCCTGATGCTAAGAAAACTACATCCATCTCACACAGCACTGGCAACCAGCATTCCAGCAGTCTTATATGCTCTTCATCAGGCTTCAACAATTGCATCAATCTCCAAAAAGGCAAAGGCCAACTACCAGTCTGACTGATTGGCTGCGAAGACTTCTCAAATAGTACTAACAGGACTTCAAATAGGAAGCTTCAATTATCCAATCCAAACCTGCCGCCCAACTATGAAGCAATGATATCTCCAAATCCAAGTCCAGCCCCAATAACTCCAAGTCCAACAAGCTCAAGACTCATATAAACTCCCAATCCCATCAACTGGCAGACCTTTCAATTTGGAAGCCCTTCAACTAATAGTCCAATTGCCTCTCAACCATCAACCAGCCAGCCCAACTGTAAGTCCAACAAACCCAAGACCCATAAACTCCTAGTCCTATCAATTTGCAGACTATCAATTTAGAAGCCCTTCAACTTACAGTTCAGTTCCCTCTTAACCATCAACCAGCCAGCTCAGAGTCCAAAAATCTACCCTCCAACCCCAAACCCCTTCAGCTCCCAACTTCTCAAATCTCCCAGCCTCAGACCCTCAGATCTTAAAAAAATTCAAGGGGTACCCCTTGAAATCGGAAATTCTGGCCAAAGCTGAAAAATTGTCCAAGTCCAACAACCTAAGGGTTTTAATTACGAAAACCGGAGAGTTTTTTAAGAAAGTGCCATGGCAGAGCGGAAAAGAAGACAGCTGGCATGCCAGGGGTACGCGGTTCAACCCTGCTCCATGCTACTATTTTATTTATTTTTTATAATTTAAGACTGCAGTGAGCAAAAATTCTCCTCCCGGGTCCCCGGCTGGGATTTGATCCGGGGACCCGGCGCCTGGCGGTCAGCGAGCTAGACCGCTGGGCCACATGCTTCTTCGAAAATTTGTTCTCGGAACTTATATTTAAAGGTTAGATTGCGCAATATAAAAAAAAAATTAAAAATGACCCTTGCCCTCATTTGAATAATTGAATAATAAAAAGCAGGAAAAAAATGAATATTCAGAAGGAAACCACCATAGGTCTAAAATTCTGGTTCTCAAATTTAGATATTTATTCAATATACTTTCTACTGTAGGTTGTACACCATTTACAAACCTATTTCACAATATTTTTCGTTAACGTTGTTTTTAAACTATTTTAACAAGAACCACAATTCTAATTAATGTAATAAATGAAGACATTAATTAATTAACTTCCCTTTACAAAAATCTAAATTTGTCAATGCTTAAAGATTTTACTGAGCTGCAAGCCCTTAATTCATTCAAAATTTTCACTATTTTTTCATGGGGGGTAGGACAAAATTTGCTGTAAAAAGGACAAACTTTTTGTTTGAATGTGAAAATGAGAATTTTAAAATAGGCAATCTGGCCTACAGCATCTAATTCATTTCCCCCCTAAAATTTTAAAATGATATCCACTTCACAGGCAAAAATATACCAATTCCAATACAGAGTGACACCTTATTTCATGAATAAGTTCTAGTAGTACAAATAAAGTTAAATAAGTGAAACGGTACACTACAAATAGGTTACACATAATATATGAATACTGCCCTCTACAGTCCAATATTTTAGCTGTGTCTACCTGGCTTGATTCTTTGTCAATTAATTATAGAGCTCTCAAATTATTCCATGGAAAATCATCATTTTCCAATTCTTTCTATACCTTTAACAATAATGTCCGCCTGTGCAAACAAAATACGGACAGAGCCAGCTTGGCTAGTGGGTTTTTGTACACTATTCTGTGAATAATCGTTGGATTTGAATAACGCCCTCATTGAAAGTATGGTACGAGCCCCCCCCCCCCCCCCCCCCCCAAAAAAAAATATTCTTGGAGGCCAAGTGTCCTGAGAAAAAACCTGTCTACATTTTTCAGAATGTTTTGCTGATGAAACCCCCCCCCCCCCTGCAAAAATTCCTGGATCCACCCCTGCTTTGTATGGGTTACACTTGAAAATTTACCTACGATTAATACATAAATAATCAGAAATACAATAATTATGTAAGACCCAGTAACTAATTGGGCAACCTACAGAAAATCTACAGTTTCTACCAAGTATATGGGCAATTCCATGGCGACAGACATTAAGAGTTTCGGCTGGTTTGAAATTAGTTGGCACCAATATCTCAAATCCCCACCAATTTCATTTTAATCAGTTCGTGATATGAGAACGTGACACCGTATAGTAATTCCATAAACGTAATAGAATTCCATATAAATTTTCATCTTTTCACTCAAAATTTCTTTTATTTCAATAATTATATCAAATTCTCATTATCTTATTTTATATTCAAGACATGTCACATTGCAATTGGAATTGGAAGCTCTTAAGACTGAACTTTTTCAACGAGTATAGTGAAAAAAATTTTGAAGAATTTTTGTGACATGAATTCCTCAACGATATGTATTATTTTTTCTAGATGCCAAAAGTGTCTTTACATTTTTACAACCTGTTTAGGCAGATAATTACGTTCCAGAAAAACCACCAGTAAATTCAGTGTAAGGTTAGGTTTGCATGAGCTGTAGTTGGGCTATCTTGCAATTTACGCATTCTTTTATGTTGTCATGATCGGGACACTTTTATCATGACAGACATTACATAAAAGCAACGCAGGAAACAAATGATTGAACAAATTTCTCTTCAAGTTAAAGGTGCAACAGATATAATATTCCATTTATTGATAGAGTAGATACAGTGTTTACACGTAAGTTGTAAAATTAACTTTTTCAAATTAAGACTCTGTGACGGACATCATCGTGACTGACATTACTGTGACGAAACTAGTGACGAAAAATTTCTGTTGAGGTAAACGTCTTATTTTCTTTTATTTCCAACAGTGACTATATGCAACAAGATATTTTTTTCAGGATAAAAATGTAGAAATGTATTTACATAAAAACCTCATATAATTAAAACCTATATATTGTCAGCACCTCAAAAATAAGTGAACATAAAGCAGATGAGGCAAGACATTTCTCAAAAATAACCTTATAATATTAATTGTCTCCAATAATAACTGTGAATAGATTTACATACTTAATACATGTCATATACATATTTTCTTCATTAATAATTTCAGGTCTCAACATGCAAAACAAATTTCATACTCAATATTAACAACTTTTTCTTAAAGTTTTATTCGTGCTCAGTTATAAACTTATGTTCTGCTCTTTGACTGTCTATTCCTCTTTCATTTGTTCCTCTTGTGGTCTTCGTACAATCCTTTTCTTCCAAGTTTTGTTTCTGCTGTGCTCTTCTCTGTGCTGCTGTAATTAACTTGCAACTTGGGTGTGTACCTTTCCTGAAAAATATGAAACATTCAACAAAATTATTCGTATTTTTTGCATGTTTTTACTAACACAATTTTAAATGCTATTTCTCTGGCAATACCAAAGTTAGCCAGTGAACCCACAACAAAAAGAATGAATAAAATCAGCCAAGGTTTAGTAATAGGGAATTATGAATATCAAACTATTTGGTGCCAAACAATAATTCAGTTCTCACAGGGAAGACTCCCCCACCCCTCCCCAACAGAATGGACAATGACAGACTACTTGTGCCCCAAAAGCAACACAAATATATTCTTAATTTTAAAGGCTTACAGATATCCAAATACAAAAAAAAGGAGTTTTTTTGTGAAAAATATAAGTTGCTCAGACGTGGCTTTGACACTCCGTTGCATTTTGGTCAAAAGAGTTTACTTCTTTCATGTGTATGGACTTAAATAATGTGTGTACTTATATTTTCGTCAACTAGGCCTACGGACTGTGCAATAATGTGACTGACAGTACATGCGAAGAGATTGTGACTGCATGAAGATACATGTGACTGACATATTACAATATTTCATGGCTGGCCTAAGCATTAAAGCAAAAATGTAAACAAAAATCTTTTTTTTCTAATACACATCTCAGAACTCATGCTAAGAAAATTTGCCAGAATAATTTACTGGTCAGAAAATACAAGTTTATAAAGAAAACAAATAAAGTTGATTTTGATAAAAAAAAATTGTGTAAGTTTGTATCTCATTTGACAAGCAAAATCTGACTACAACTGACAACTAAAAAAATAATATCCATTTTCACAAAGATGCCCTCAAAACGGTAACATAACAAAATTGAGGAAAAATATTACTGAATTATAGATAGCAAAAGACTGATTCAAATTTCCTTACCAGTGCATCCATTAGTCATCATGACGTCATTGCAGACTTTGATGTGATGGTGTACCGTAACTCACAAAATAGTGCGCGCATGGGAAGAAACTATTTCAGTTTTAAAAAACGCCAAGATATTGTGTCACTTCAGCAAATCAAACTTGGTAAATTTATTTTTTGGTCTGGTGTCTCCACCAGCATGGAATTGCCCATATAACCTTTTTTTTCTCATTTAACAGCCTAATACATTCTAAATAGGCCCAATGCACCTTGGATGTAGTTTCTCTGATGTTTGATGTCATCACAAAGTGGTGCAGTTTCAGGGCATTCCAGCATCCAGAGCAACGTCTTCTTGGTAAGAGCGGGAAAACCTAAAATTCAAGTAACACAAAAATAAAACCAAATTGAATATAAATAGCATACTTGTAGGCCCTATACATGCAGTTTATGATTTTTTTTCATAATTTTGCAAGCTTTTGTAGCTTTTGCGGGAAAAATCCCATATCTGGCCATCACTTGTCACCCTGTGTACAAAACCTATGAGACTGGTCTGAATTTTTTTAAAGTGTTTTCTCAGTAAATACTTTAATATTTTCCCTGCTAAATTCGACTTTTTAGGACATATTATCACTTTCTGATGGGTGATAGGTCACTGAAGGGAAATATTAGTGATGCTGGAAATCTTTCCGCTTGTGCAGCTCCACTAAGTTGGGAGAACAAATTTACATGTATGGAGAAGTTTTTAAGACAGAATTTGGAAATTTAGCTTCTTTTGCATTCATATTCACAGCATAATTTTAGCATGAAATTATAATCAACCCATAATTCACATAAATATTGGTGCAAAAGCAAGTATTAAAGTATATTGAACAAGTTTTCAGATCACCTGAAACACAACTGTTCTTCTTCTTGTGGTTCTGATAACAGGTTTCCAGCGACTCTCGAGAGGGAAAAGTTTCTCAGGTCCTGTCTTGTCAAAGAATGTGCAAAAAATGCAATATAGATTAGTTATGGTAGTGAACATGGTTTCATACATGTGCTGAAACGACATGTGAGCACACAGAATGGAAAGTTACAGAAATATGAGCGAACATATGACCTTAGTGTTCACAGAGCTGTTTAACCCTAACTCCCTAGGCCTGTTTGCTGGGATGTAGCCTCAATCCTGCAAAATCCTCCAATTGGCCTCAAGGAAAAATAGCCTCAATTCTGCAAATTCCTCCATTATATCTTAAATATGGTCCATGAAGGGGTGACCACTGCCTGAATCCTGCAGAATCCTGCAAAATCCTGCGGCAGTGACTGTCAATACGTTGATCGAGGCTTGGCCAGTGACATCCTGGAGCAGTCATCAAAAGAAGCAGGGTTTACCCAGATGTATACATGTCAATGACAAACAAATCAATTGATAGCCCTGTATGGTCCATTATAGGGTAGTTGGAAGGGCATGCATACTCCATCATATGACGCATAAAAACAAGCTTAAATTTCATGTAGTCAGGTCCTCATCAAGTCGACTCTCGTCGGACTGCAGCAAAGGCACACCACACATCACGGTCTCCCAACGCCATCCTATCTCGGCTGCGGAGGCTAGTCCAGTATCACGACGCAGCTGGTCCACGTAGGTTAGCATCTGCCCACCTCGAGAGGCTACTCCATGAGTGGGTTCCCATAAGATGAGTTGGCCTTGCAGCTATCTCTGGATGCCGAACACAGTGACCAGCCAATCGCAGACGCTTACGTCCGATAGTTGTAGAGATCCTTGGCAGTTTGCCATAGAGCACCTCATTCCTGACTTTGTGGGAGCCCAGGTATATGAAGTCTTCTCTCACAGCTAGGGTAGTGCCATCCTTGGTGTTGATTTTCACATCCCCAGTGTCGATGTTAAAGCACGACTTCCGTCTTCTTGGCATTGATCTGCAGGCCAAACTTTTTGCACTCTCTTTCCACGCTGAGAAGCAGAGCTTGTGCCTTTTGCACCGAATCCGAGGCCAGAGCGATGTCATCCACAAAGTCGAAGTCGGTCTCTACAACAGCCTCTACAACACTCACCCATCTGCTTTGCCTTGGTGAGAGAGTGAAACCAAGTAGCTCCTCCCTCCCCAGGATTCCGTAGGCTTGCACAATTTCCTTGAGCTTCCCTCGGTGGATCAAGTCAAACGCCTTCCTAAAGTCGATAAAGGTCGTCACAGCTGGGAGATTTTTCCTGTTAACCCCTTCAATGATCCTTCTCAGAGCCTATCTGTGAGACTGTGGACCTCTTCTCTCTGAAGCCATTCTGGTTTTTGCGCAGCAGAGGATCGAGAACTGGGCGGATTCTATTCAGAATCATCCGGTTGTAGACCTTGGCAACCACAGAGCTGAGGCTGATTCCTCTATAATTACGTGTATCAGCCTTTGTGAGATCGCCTGACTTTGGGATAGGAATTACGTTGAGCACTGTCCAGTGCCTTGGTAACTCTCGGTCTATGAAGGCCTTGTTGGGGATGTTTAGCACCAGGTCGTCTATGGGCACCCATTTCAGCACCTCAGGCACTATCCTATCTTCCCCACAGCTCTTCCCTGGTTTGAGTGAGCTTTTTGCAGATTGGTACTCTTTGATGGTGAATTGTCCATCGTTGATCGGCAAGCCCTGGAAGACAGGTTGCATTTCCTCATCCTTGTTCTCAGCTACTGGGGGGCTACCGAGGAGGTTTTTGAAGTGACTGTACCGCGAGTTGACTCGATCTTCCACAGTTTCTCCAGCGATCTGGTTTGGTTTTACTTCCCAGGTACTATTTGGAATGTGAACAGCTCGCTGTTGTTGTTGACGGGATGGCGTTGGAAGGAGCTGATGCATATGGATGCCTTGAGCCGGTCAACGCTGTCTGCTGGGTTGAACGAGTTGCAGCGCTGTCAGGCCAATCAACAGATGAGTGCGGGTGCCGAAAACGAGTTCAGCTGGACAAAGGGCCAAGCCTGGTTTGACTGCAGAACGAACTCCTAGCAGGATGAGTTGGAGTATGTCTCTCCATTTGATATGGCCGGTCATCGTGTGCTTTTTAGTGAAACCTTGAGCTGGCATTGTAAGCTTTCAACAATGCTCTGAAAGTCCGGCAGTGGTGTTTGCAGCCAAGTAATCTAGTGAGGGTGCAAAGAGCCCCGATTCAAATTACCGGCCGCGGTCGGTTGTCACTGAGAGTAATTATACAGGAGTAAAACTCTCAAGCGGTGGAGCTGTGGTAATGCTCTTGGAGCATATCTCCTTCCCCATGTCTGTACGTGTGAAGTGTGTCACTGAACAACTTACAACAGGGTGCATCAACAGTATTTCCCCAGTAGTTTCTGACATGCTCAACATTACATACCAAGACAGATTCAGCATCAAGGACCTCTACCTTCAGACGTCAGCTTCGTTGACTTGGACATCAGCTTCACTGGGCCTCTGGCTACAGACCTCCTCAACGGCCACGGTGCTCAGGCGCCCCTCCCATGGCAGCTGGCAGAGAGGTTGGGAGACGGTGCTGTACATGAGCATGCAGCAAAGACACTCAATTGAGACGTCCATCTGAGGCCCGAAGAAAATGACGTGGAAGACCAGGACAACTGGTGAAAGATGCTGGCAATCGCCTGTCAGCAACCTCCCTAAGATGTTATAGACAAACAAAAGCAGACAACAGAGACATATACCCCAATGATAAATGTCCCCACCTCAGAAATTTGGGAAAAATACTCACAACTCTCCAAGGTGTTCGAGACACACATCAAATTAAAGCTTATTATATCATCTTTCATTTTATTTTCAATTTTTTTGGAGTAATCTGATAACTTTTAGGAGAAATTTCCATCTGAAGATGATCACCCCTAAAAATAGTCCTAAAGATGCATCACCATTTTGAAAAATGGTGCCTACACTCATTGGAATATAGAGAACTTTTAAGGCCCCAATTTCATCCAAATTTCACTGAAACACGTGCTCACAGTCCTGCGCACGGCTTCCACCCATATATTTTACAACCCTCAAGTTCATTGCCCACAATATGCTCAATCATTGAAGAATTTTAGGACATGCAAATCGCGATTTAGCCGGCGTAGGCAATTTCGGACCGATTTACTGGCCTGCACCCTAACTGCCAACAGAGGCTCAGGGGAACTTATTTGAATGAATTGAAATTTAGGGATGGACACAAAATTGAATCAACATGATAATGGCATTAAAAAGAGAAACTATCCACATGTTTAACATGAAGATGAATCTGGATGAACACTGGGTCAAACATTCCATCTGCATAAGCCTTGTTGCTCATAAAGGTGACTGCATACTTTGGGAGAAATCAAATGAATGTTGTTGTTTTTTTAATCTATAACTCATTCATTTATCAATAATTGTTATTTGATTCAGAAAAACTAAGCCAATTCAGAAGATGAAACTTTGGTCGACTTTGAATTCACATCAAAACTCAAGTTAGATTAAGGGCAATTTGATGGCAAAGTTGGCACTGCTGAAAAGTGGAACATCCAAAAAATCTGCAGAACTACGAGCACTAACAACCACAAATGGGGTATGGGATTAAAGGAGAAAACAGGAAATTTCATTTTGGTGTGCCAGTGAGATGGAATACGGTCAAATGTATTTTTTTTGTTAAAAAAAAAAGTTTTTGGGGATAAAGTTATGGCATCTTATTTTGTTATCATGAGGTTTCTTTTAACCCTTACAGAACTCAACCCATCAAACCCCAACGGTATTTTTTGTTGGAATCTGTCAGGATGGGTACAGTACCCCTAAACTGACAGTCTTTTACATTGGGTTGGCACACCTCCAGAAACAAAGTCAGAAATATATGTTTGCAGTTTCCTAGTGTTGGAATTTGCCAGGATGGATATGGTTCCTAGTAAATCATGCTAGGGAGTTAGGGTTAAGGCAGAGAGAAAGATCCCTAAGCTATGCCAAAAGAGCCTTGTTGGTCACTTAATGCTTTGACTTTATAGAATAAAGGTAAAATACCTTATAATAACTGGCAGTTATCATAAGCTGATCGAGACCAACTGAAATGATTTAGTTACCTTATATTTCTGAGACTGCATAAAAACTGCCCTCATGTGACCGAGGTATTGTCCGTTGCATGAAGGATGTACTTGAGTAGATGGGGGTCCTCTCGGACATCATCAGCTAACCATGAAGACAAAGAGGCTTGGGAAAAAGAAACAGACAATAAAATGGAAAATTAACTCATGTCATCTACAGCCATTAACACAACACCTGTCCAGCCATGAATCTTTGGGAGCTTGGGGGATTTTCAAATTTCTGTGAAAACTGCCAAAGAGATGCTTTAAGATTTTCATCATCCGTTTTTCCTCCATCATCCAGCTATCATCATCCATGTCATTGGTCAGCAGTTTTGCAATAATTAGAAATATCAAACTTTGTTTTTTTTGTGACAAAATGATGTATTTTTGTTGAAAGGAAATGTCCTAGACTAATGGAAGAACAAATTGGCTAGGGAAGATTTAAGACCATAATCTATTTTTTAAGACATGATTGTTTCAATTTATTTTTAAATCCTTTTTTTATTTTTCCTAATCAAAAGAACGGTGATTTTTAGTTAGGCCCTATATGATTAATGATTCGGTGAATTTGATGGGATATCAAGTGATATATTCTACCTTAATTTTCACCCTCATATCTTTTTTTTATCATTATAAAATAAAATCAAGTTGTCGAAGGTTCTAGTGTAACAGACAATAAAATGTAAAAATTAACTCATGTCATCTACAACCATTAATACAACACCTGTTGAGTCATGAATCTTTGGGAGCTTAATAGGTGGATTTTCAAATTTCTGTCAAAACTGCCAAAGAAATGCCTCAAATTTTCATCAACCGATATGTTCAAGAAGATCAACAAAATTGATTTTGATTCATTAATCAAAACAGTGAAAAAATGGAGTTTTGCATAGTTACAACACAACCAATTTGTGTAAACACCTTTATATCAATTTTACATTCTTTTTTCAAAATAACTGCGCTTCCAAAATCATTTTGTTATCACCTTCAATAGTTTGTCAAGTCAGAATTTAATGACAAAATCAATTTGAAACTGCAGTTCCAAGTTAATTCAGGGTTCGACTTTAGCGGTAGCCCACTAACCAAATGCTTGTCAGAACAGGGATGGGCTAGTCAAAGTATTTCTTAAGTAGCCCGGCTGGCGAATCAAAAATTATTGGGCTACGGCAAAGATGAAAGGACAGCAAGAAATAAATCATCAAGTTCAGAAAGCAAACCTGTATCAATTTGTGTCTAATTTTGGGTTAAATTATGAAATCTGTTTATTAAAACACTGACAAGATTGCCTCAGAATACACGTTTCTACATGCATGCACATTGTTTTTTTATGAAACCTTCTATAAAAGAAAAACATGTGGGCTAGTAAAAATGCCCGCGGGCTAGTTAAGAGTCTATTTCAGTAGCCCGGCTGGCCAGTAACAAATTTTTTTGGTTGAACCCTGGTTAATTATGTCCTTATCTAAATCTAAGTACAAGTTTTTGTTTAATATTCAATAATTAGAATGACTGACCTGGGTGTCATCTTCGTTGTGAAAATAATGATATGCCCATCACCTGAAAGAGAAAGTTATTTCAAACAATTATCGACTGGTAGGTGATTGATTAGCCAGCTGTGCCTACTACTTGCCTGCTTTTGTCTGTTGACTGAATTTGACTAGTCACAGTGCTTGCTTGAAATATGATCTGACTGTTGGTGACTAGTCTGTGTAAAAGGCATGGAAAGGGGACAGGATTTTTTTGTTTTTACTGTCTGTGAAAAAGGAGGGTTAAACTGGAAATAGTTCAGTTTTGAAACTGTTGAATTTTCTGATTTTTTAACAAACTGAACCCACATAGTCTCATGCAGGGCACCAAAAGCCATTAACCCTTCTACAATTTAAACAGTCACAGACAGTCAAAATTTCTATCCACTTTCCCCGCTATACTTTTAAAACAGGCTAGTCACCAGCAGTCAGATCATACGTCAAGCAAGCACTGTGACTAGTCAAAATTCAGTCAACAGACCACGAACAGACAAAGCAGGCAAGATGTGGGCACAGCTGGCTTATTAATCACCCAAAGTCAAAGCAAAGCTGTATCAAGTTACATAAACAGTCACAGCCAGTCAGTCCTGCTTTATGTATGCTGGGAATTCTTAACTGTTGAAAACAGTCACTTGATTGATTATGACTGAAAGGACAAAACTTGGCACAAAACGTATGTTTGCATAGGAGGGTTATTTTAAAATGCACTTCAAAGTACAGCATTTGATTTGTTCATAGACAAATGTCCAATCTTAATTTCAGCTGTTTTGAAGATGTTTCTCCATTCCTTTGGCTGTCTATAATCGATCAGTTGCAATCAAATGCTCACCTTGGATTTGGCGATCGGATTCCCCTGAAGTTGTCGGTTCATCGCTAGTTTCCTTCTTGTCTCCAGTAAGCTTCTCAGCTTGTACCTTGCAGTGATATCAAAAACAAAACAAACAATCATTAAAACATTCAATAAATATCAGAATGGCTTTTGTGTTAATAACACAAAAGCAAGTGTATTTTTCATATGTATTTTTCATGCCGCACGAAGTCGCCACATGCAGTCGCCGACGACCTGTGGAGAAACCACCACCAACACCCCACACAAAAACAAGCACACACCCACCACCAACCAGTACATCACAAACACATATTTCAACCAACCTTGGAATTTGGATTTTTTTTTAAGAGTAACATTTTATCAAAATGTGGTCTTTTAAATAAATAAAAGAACTAATTTTAAAAAGACCAATTTGGGCTAGACAAATCGGGGTGTGTTTTTCTCCAACTACTGCATGTGGCCTTGAACTGCACAGAAAAATGGTTACCTCACCTCCGTTAACATGCAACCTTGTTCCTTCTGTGCCATGATTCTGAACAATCCAACGAACGACTCCACTTGAAAACTGTCACAATCCAGGGGACAAGTGCATGTGGCCTTGAGCTGCGAAGAAAAATGGTTACCTCACCTCAGTTAATATGCAACCTTGTTCCCCGATCGTGTCGATGAGTCCGAACAATCCAAAGAACGACTCCACTTGCAAACTGTACACTTTCACAATCCGGGGGTCTTGTGCATGTTCATGCATGCCTGCAAAACAAACTACCAAACTTGGCATGTAAATGAAATGTTCTCGTAATTTGAAATCTTTTACTTTCATCGCCTTGGGTCAAATAATAAAATGCTGAAATTTATAAAAAAAAATTTACAAGATTTCTTATTTCTGCCATTTTTTCGACATTGACATTCATGACACAATTGAAACAATTAACTAAATAGTGTTATGCCCCATCACATTGTGTTAATTTACTATGAAGCATCACAAAATCATTTTCTTAATTATCAGACAATTAACAATGATT